GTGACTCGCTGGGGCGGGGAAGCCATGGGCAACACTGAGCTCTGGGCCCACCTCAGCTGCTCACCTGAAGGGCTTGTTCTGGCTGCGGGGAGACGTGCCGGCACCGTCGGCTCCCGAGTCCTTGCCGGCGATCTCAGGGATGGGGGAGTCCTCGACGGGGGAGATGATGTTCTCCTAGTGAGAGGAGCACAAGGGAACGGTCAGAGCGCTGGACTGTGGCAGTGCTGCCCCGCAGAGCCAAGCCACGGCACAGCCCCACGGGGCCCACTCACCTCCACAAGGGCCTGCAGGAGACGCTGTGTCAGCGGCCCGAAGGGACACCCGTCCTCTGGCTGCTCATGCTGGGCCTCTGACTTCTTCAGCAGAGCATCGACGTCTGGGAGGAGGCGGGAGGGGGAACAAAATGACCCCAAAGACACGGAGGTGAGCAGCGGGGCAGGACAGCCTCTACTGCAGGGGTGCAGGGTGAGGGGCCAGGGCTCAGCTCCACTGGCTGAGGGTGCTTGCAGCCCCTCTGGGCAAAGGGGGATGGGGGACAAGGGCACCTTTGGTGTCCAGCTCGGTCAGCGGGCCCAGGACGCCTTTCTTTTTGTCAGCAGCAGCTGCCGCCCGGGCTCCGTCCTTCTGCTCCTCCAGCAGGTCCTCCTGGGCCCAGCGTTGGGAGTAATGCTTCCCCAGGGGTGGGATCTGTGAGAGCAGGGTTTGGCACAGCTCCCAGAGCCCCTCAACCTCACCCCCCGCCTCCTGCCCAGCACCACGGCGTCATCCCCAGGCAGGAATATTCACTGTGAGGCACGGGAGGGGACGGAGCAGCCAAGGGATACAGGGAATGGGGAGAGAAGGCAGGGAACAGGAAAGGGAGGCACCATGTGAGCTCGGGAGTTTTTCACCTTGTAATGCTCAGCCTCATCCTCCGGCGGCTTGAGCAGCTCCTCCAGGACTCTGACCTCCTCGTTGGTGAGATCGGCACAGTACGGCTCCACCGACGCCCAGAACCTGCAAGGACGGATGAACTGTGAGGAAGAGCTGCAGGGGAGCTGACACACCCCCCGTTCCCCCCTGGGGTACCTCTTCCCTCAGGCTGGAGGCAGCCCCTTGTGCCGGGTGCTGCAAGGAAGGAGACGGATGATCCCAACACCCCCCAATCGCCACACACCTGTTCGGAGCATCGTTTTTGGGAATGCGGGGCACGTCAATGGGATCATCCGGGAACTCGTATTCCTGGATCTTGGGCTGCAGGTTCTTGGACTTGGGCCGGCCGGGGCCAGGCCCGGTCCCGTGGCCCCCTTTGCCCTCCAGCTTCTGCTTCTTGGGCTTCCCATGTTTGACAGAGGGGCCCACATCGTGGTCCTTGCTCAGCTTCAGGAACCGCCGGTCGCCCTTCTTGTCCTGCCAGTCCGTGAGGATCTGGAAGAGAGCGATGCCCCGTCGGGTCCCGTGCCCGGTGCTGGTCAGGGATGGACCGGAGGCAGTCCCCTTGGCAGGAAGGAGCAGGACAGGGAGCCACCCTATGGCTGCGGTCCCGGCACCTGGGTCTCGGCCTCCAGGACGCGGAGGCGGCGGCTGGCGGAGGACAGCAGCGTCTCCAGCTC